GGCACCGCAGTAGTAATTGTTTTGTGTAAATTATCCATTTGTAGTTTATTCTGCCATGTTTTAATCGGAGCATATGAGCACACAAGTACATATATCATGGCATATATCAGATATTTTTCAATATTATTCAAGTCTTCTAAGGTGAGAAGGTAGAGTTTCATCTTGGCAAAAAAATAATAATGCAAGAGACCTCACTACTAATGTAAACACAAGCACATATCTATACTAAACCAGCACTTGAATTAGCAACTTCTTGAGTGGCAGCATTTTGAAAACACATGATGGGTGGTGCACCTTTCCCAACCAATCATCCACTTTAGAATGGTGTAATGTGTAGCTAATCCCTTTCTCATGCTAAAGAGGATCTCAATAATGTTCAATGAGCATAGAACAGAATTCTTTAAATGTTCTTTAGACAAAGGAAGTGCAGGAACAGCCACTAACTAGGAAAAGAGTTGCTGGGAGCCGGGCAACAAGGTAAGTTTATATTATGGTTGGTTGCACAGTCAGCCAGATGTTTAGACTGGATTTGGCATTTTTATCCACCTATTGAATCCTTCCCAAGGACCTGGGATAGCTGATTATTACTGTTGTTGAAGAAAATCAGCCAAGTGTGCTGGAACGTTGGATGCAACATCAATATTGCATCTAACATCGCATGTCTGTAGGTTCCAGCTGTCAAGTCAACATAGTTCTACAACTTCTGGGGGTTCAGGGGGAGGGGCAGGGGAGAGAGGACTTTGACTGCTTTTCTTGGCCCAGGTCAAGGTCTCTCAATTTGCCACATTCGGACTGTGCAACATGCCCGTGACATCATAAGGAGCCCTTTGGGTTTGGACATTAGCAAAGTGCTGACAAAATTATTCAAACAGGTAACTGACCATCATTTAGACCATTTAATACGTCCATTCGCTGATGGGAGGGACAGCCCAGATTCCGGGTTCCTGAAACTGTACGTGGCTTCTGCCCTTTATTGCCTATGAATATGTACCTCCTTATCTTGCCAAAGCAAATTAACTTAATCGTTATCTTAAGAGCCGTGCCCAGCGACTTACTGTAATACATAGACCCTTTATCTTGTTGTGAGCAGCAGGGATGAATCAAGTCTTGATCACATGTCTCAAGGCAATCGGGAACCTGTTTGTATACAGCAGTGTTTCTCAACCTCAGCCACTTTAAGATGTGCTGGCTGGGGGAATTCTGGGAATTGAAGCCCACACATCTTAAAGTGGCCGAGGTTGAGAAACACTGGTATACAGGGTTGCCTTTAATAGAGGGCTACCATACAGTGTCTGGCCTGCTGAAGGCCGAGCACCACTAGATGGCAGCAGAGGGGGCTCTTTCTGTATCCCTCTGCTGCCATCCAGTGGCTATCTGGATTTCTGTAGCCCCAGATACGGTAGCCCTACTCCAGCCCCTTCTTTGCGGGGCCCAGAGTGTCCTTTAACCACTGTTGCTGAAAACCACTGTAGTGCAAGACCCACAACAGATGTAATGTGCTTTTTATTAAAAAGGCAACACTGTCAATCGAAGGAAAATCCTGTTTCACCCACTTTGCCTCATGATCCCATCCACTGTGTCTCTTGGCCTCACAAACTCATCATATGCAGTCCCTGGCCTTCAAAAGGTTGCCCATCCCCGCCTGAAGGTACATGTTTGCTTAATCATGGTATACCAAATAAACCAAATCTGGGGAGATTTGTAATGCAATGCTAAGCCATTAAACCACAGTTTCTAAATCACAGGGGCTGGATTTACATAACCGGCTAAGCCAAAACCAAGCGACACACATTGTGGGTTAGTGCAATGGGAGAACCTCAGAGCCTTTTCACAGAGTTGGGTTGTAAATGCTGAGCCTTTGGCTATTCTGTGTCCTTGGCGTCCTCTCTACCTACATGATAACAATTAAAAGTTGGAAGGTGTCCCATCCACAGAACCATTCAGGAAGATCTTTCCTTGGGCTCAGCCCATTTTCTCTAAGCCCTTTGACAGTCTATTCCCCCAAACTTCCTTTTGTAGAACAAGCACATTCCTTGTCTGAGTAGTACCACCACTCAACTTAGAGAGCTGCTCAGAAACACTTGCGCCTGTGAGTGCTCTTCCCACGCTATCAAAGTCCTTCTGGTTTTTGGCCCCATGCCTAAGAAACACCTCTTATTAGATAATACACCAACGCTAGAGATTTCTATGCAAAGCATATGGATTACAAATGCTTACTCTCTTTGTGTTGAGAAGATTGATGACAGACACTTTCCCTCTTCCTTTCATCAGATCAACCCCTACTTTAGAAGACTCTCCATCCCAGGTGAGACATTTTAGTTAATACTAAGAGTTGGATTTTTTTTTTTTTTGCCTTTTCATATAGAGTACTTTAGAGAGCACATTGTCTCTTATACAGGCTGGAGACCCGGAACTCACAAGGCAACACACTCTTTGTTAAGGAGGACTACCACAGCCACATCTCATCTAATGCTCGCTATAAAAATGGATTAGCACCACTTCCCTTTCTGAACAAACAAAGTCTCCCTTGAGTCATGGAGACTTCAAGGAAACGTCCATATTGTTTTCTTATGCTCATAACTCCAACCAATTATATTGATGAGATTCAACCTCCATTATCTGGCCAACCAACCTGTCTTAATCCAGAATAATTTCCACCCTTCGATTCAAGTCATTCCCATAAACTAGAATTTTCCTTTTAAATCCCACTAATGCATGTCAAAGCCATCTTTTTTTCCCAGCTTGATGGTGGGGTTGCATGATTAGAAGAGAAATGGTTTTCAAAGCCACAGGTGCCTTTCCCTGACCCCACCCATAGTGAGAACTTCACACATATCTTCTGCCAGAGAAACACACCCTCTGGGTGAGTCAGCCTTTTTAAAGGTAGCCAACAAGCACATGGAAAGGGGCTGACTCACAAGTTACAGGAGGGGCTATATCCGGATACTTTTCAAGCAGAAAGCTTAAGGTTTAAAATCTGGCAGAAGAGACCCTAGGGATGGGAGAGAATTAGAAATGAGATTGAAAAGCATTGAGACCCAGCAGGCTAGACAGAATGGGCTATGTCACCGAAGGCAATGTTTGGTCTGGGGTACGAGCTCCTGGTTTAGGTCAACGGCCAAACCCTGTTTTTTGGCAAAGAAGGGCCATGTTTTCAGGCAAGGATGGTTTGCACAGAGAAGGTTCTTAGTTCCAAGCTCTAGTTCAAAATGAGCAGTCACAAGCAACACTCAAAAATGGCTTTTGACCCTGGAGAACCACTACTGGTCAAGGTGATGATATCTGAACGTAGACCAGGAATCTGTTTTTTTATGTTCACGTGTGCATTTGTACCTAATGGGATGTGAACAGGACACTCACACTGGTAAATAGAAACAACCTCAAAGATCATCCAGGCCAACCTCTTCTTGCGTGAAATCGGCAAAGACAGTGAAATGATCTCTCTTCCGATCCTTCAAGTACGCTTGCTGATCCCTGATAAGTGTCCTCAACAGCTACAGAGAACGACACAGAAGCAGCAGGATCTTTGCCCATGCAAGATGGGGAGATGTGTGTGTTCATAAATAATAAAGCAGGCCTGGAAGACTGTTTGCATTTTTCCTTGTGTCATCCAAGTTCCTTCTTCTGACCCTGAAACCTATCATTATAAAAGCACACTCCTCTTGCCTTAGCTCAGAAATAAACCCTATTATGGTCACTGAGGGCTTACTCCCAGGTAAATGGAAGACAACTTGCAGCCCATGTGGATAAAAAGATAGAAATAAGAGAAGGTCCAGGTCTCTCCAGCTATTTAGTTTAGTTCACTGAATAAACTTGGATTTTTTTTCTCTCTCAGCTGGTGAGTTTCCAGATGTGCTTGATTATAGATCCTTTCAACTCCAATCAGCACAGCTCAGGTGCGTAGGAGTACAACTCCCAGATTCCCATCAACCTCAGCCTGCACCAGCCTCCAAACGCAGGTCCTTCTCGGTCTGAGAGAACTACAGTTCCCATCATCTCCAGCTAGAAAATGATAGGAACTGTAGTCTGCTCTGTGTCTAGTTGGGGAAGTTGCTCTAACTTTTCACTTCTAAAAGTGTAGGGAGGGGAAAGAAATCACACACCAAAGAAACACACAAACACACCTATAGCACCATGAGCTTTTTGACCAGCACAATCTGTGAGTGGCTATAAAAGCAAACGGCTGTCAATGCACAGCAATAAGCGATTCATAAGAAACAGGATCAGCAGATCCAAAAAGAGAGCAGGAAATAAAAATATCATCATCGAACCCTCTTCCAACAACATTAAACAATAAAAAAGCAGTATATCCTCGCTCCCCCCCCCCACAGCACCAGACCAAAGTAGCCAACGAAAAGAGCAATAAAGCAATAACAGTAAATTCAAACAACCACGGACCTTTTTAAAAGTCACATTAAAAAAATTCTATCTGTGGCTGCTTTCATCTGATTTTTCTGTTTTTTTTTTTTAAAGCCATTTCTTGAATTGCTCCTTTTTCCCAAAAAAAAAAAAAAAAAATCTAGCCCCGGCTCCTTTTAAAAGGAACAATTAAAGAAACAACTTAAAAAAAAAAAAAAAAAAAAAAAAAAAGTCTAGCCCTGGCTGCTTTAAAAAGGAGCAATTCAAGACATGACTTAAAAAAACAAAAAAGAAAACGCACATGAAAGCAGCCACGGATAGAACTTTTTTTTTTTTAAAAGTAGCAATGCAAGAAGCGACTTTTAAAAAAAAGAAAACGGAAAATGACATGAAAACAGCCGCGGATAGAAAGGTTTCAAAAAGGAGCGAGTCAAGAAGTGATTTAAAGAAAAAAATCCCACCAAAGCAGCCCCGGACAGAACTTCTGGTTTGCAACCGCCCAGCAGCGCAGGAAAAAGCCAATAAAAGAGCGAATCATAAGAGTTTTCTTTGAGTTGGAAAGTCACTTTTTCCCCTGGAGGGAGAACGCCCCAACTTGGGGGGCTTGGGGGCGGGGGCTCCCTCCTGCCGCCCCCCCTCACCTTGTAGGTGCTCTCGGTCAGCTTGTTCACCTCCTCCGGACCCCGAGACATGACGGCGGCCGCCGGGAGGGGGAGAAGCGGGGGGTCGGGAGAGCGGTG